AATAATAATAATAATAATAATAATAATAATAATAATAATAATAATAATAATAATAATAATAATAATAATAATAGTAACAAAAATAACAATACCAACAACAACAATAATAATAATAATATAATAATAATAATAATAATAATAATAGCAATTAAATGATAATAATTACTATTAAATAATAACTAATAATATATCTATTAAATAATAATATAGCCACTAAATAATAATAATAACTGTTAAATAATAATAGTAATCATTACTATGCCGTCATATCATACCAGTCAGAAACACCTTCAACCATTCTTTTAGCAGTAGTTTCCAAATCTAACGTATAATGATACTTCCATCTCTCCAATTTTTTTTCTTCTTCTACCTCATTATTACTATTTCCATCATCATTATCATCATCACTTCGATTAACTACTTTCAATTTTTTAGGAGCTTCTACATGTTTAACTTCAATAAATTGTCTTATTCTATGTTCATACAATCCAAACACTACCAATTGCCCGTTAATTAATGTTCCTAATAATCCAGTTCTTAAGAATTCTTGTTCAAAATATTCCGGTTTTGAGGTATCAGGTGGTACAAATATTGGTCGAGCATGAAATATTGATTCAGTATGTTTAGGTAAATTCCAAAATCCTCCAGATAATGAAGGCGAATCCACCCATATTTCACCTACTGTATCCGGAAGACATAATGCCCTTGTCTCTGGATCTACTACTGCAATGGTTGCTATTATCAAATAAATTATAATTATAAAGTTATATAATAAATATTATAATCTCTCATAATTAAATCATAATAAATATTAATTAACCTACCTTCTGGCATTACAAATCCAAAAGCACCAACTTTTATAAATCTTTTATCTTTATGTTTTCCTCCTTCACCAGACCATATAATAATTTTATTCTCTTTCAATCCTTCCCTACTCAACAAATATTCTTTTGTTTTCCTTTCCCCTTCATTACGATCATCAAGTCCTTGAACACCCAATAAATCACCAAAACTAAGTATCATACCTCCATGTTCTGGTAAACTAATTAATGGAGTTATTACATCTAATGGATATTTTACACCTAATGGTTTTAAAAATTTTTCAGCTATTATTTCATTTATCATGGGATCAACCGTTAGAGTATCTATTAATAACATTCGAAGTGACTTCAAATTTGAGGTATCTTTTTTATTAAATTTTGAATTTTGAGTTGAATTTTGATCATTTTTGAAAGACGTTACAACCGGATTTAGGCCTGGATAATCCGCTAATGCGATTGTTACTTTTTAAATCAAGAAAAAAAAATTTTTTTATTATTATTATTTAAAAAATTATAAAAAATTAATAATAAATATTCATAAAGAATAATAAAAATTATACCTTGATATTTAGAAACGCAACTTGTCCAAAGCCCTGGGGTGTCTGGTCCAAGACTCGCTAAAAATACCGTTAAATTTCCACTATAAACTCCCCATAATGTACCTAATAACAGTCCTATTTGTTGTCTAGGTTCTAAATAAGTTAACACCGTGTCTTGCGTCCACGTAGTCGCTTCATTACTTCCTTCATTCACTTTTTTCCGAGATTTATTATCTATAACACTTCCACTCATTACTTTACATTGAGCTAATATTGTTTTATGACTTATTACTACACCTTTCAATTCACCATTAGGACTTTTAGTGTATTCAATATACGCTATCTCAGTAGAATTAAACCTTCCAATTCTTTCACCTTTTTTCAAAGAACCATATTCATCAGTTTTCCACCAAAGTACAGATTTTGGTAATTCTTTTTGTTGTTTCGCTAAATCTTGAGTAAATACTTTATAATTATTATTAGTTGTTAGTACTAATTTAGCGCTTGAACTTTCAAGTATGAATAAAAGTTCATCAAATTTTTCGACAGCATTAATTGGTACAGCCACGACACCAGCATAAAAACAACCATATAAGGCAGTTAAAAATTCGAGTACTTCATTTTTACGATATATTAAAGCAACCCTTTCACCCATCATTAATCCACTATCACGTATTATAATTTGACCAATTTTTTCAGCTTTCGAATTTAATTTTTCCCAATTCAAATCACCAAGTTCACGTCCTTTTTGATCAACGGCTAGAAAAGCTCTTTTTTTTGGAGTATTACTACCTCTATACTTAAGGATTGCAGCTACATTAGAGAAATCAGAAAGAAGTTGCGAAGGATTTAATGAGTCAGACATCTTAAAAGGAATTTCTCTAGGTTCGAATGGCATGAATTGTCGACCGGCCAATTTTGAAAGACTTGGATCAAAATTTTCCAAATCTTCTAAGGCGTCAGTATGTAACTGATTATTATATAATGAAAATCTATTTCCATTATCTTGTTATTATAGATATTATAAAAAAATTTTATTATTATTAGTACGATTATTATTATTATTATTATTTATTATTATTATTATTTGAATATACGAATATAAAAATAAGAAATTACCTCTTCTAGGTATATCTTCAGGTTTAATGAATCTTTCATCACTAGGTATGGTTTGACTTGCTGAACCATCCAATTTGAAGCCATAATAAGATTTACTAGATCTAATTGATACATTATCATCTTGAATTCGGGTAGCTAATAAATAAATTTATTATAGTCATGTATAATAAAATAAAATATAATAATATTTAGATTTTAAAAATTATAATTTTTGTTACCTTCAAAATTTTGCCTTCCTACGCCTACATCCAGTTCTTCGTTAATAAGTTGTTGTGTCCTTCCTGCCATTGGAATGTCAACAGTATTAAAAGGTGGTCTCATATATTGTAATGGGCGTGTTTGAGGTCTAATAGCATGAGATCCGGGTACTGGTCTAGGCATTACACCATACATTCCATTATTTGCGTACGGAATGTTATATGGAGTTGGTGGTAATGGTGGTCTAGGTCTCCCTACCATTGGTCGTCCAATTGATGAAGGATGATAAGGAGGTGAAGAATTATAGACTTGTTGAGATTGTACAGGAATATACCCACTTGGAGTAGGTGGTAATGAATTCCATCGAGAATTAGGATCTAAAGAAGAAGGTACAGGTGGAGCTACAGAAATATTTAAATTTGGACCGTTCAAATCTGTTTTTCGCGACAATGAAACATGTCTCCGATTATAAGTATCTATTGCATCGACACTTTGAGTACGATTATGAGAATGATGAACATTCGTATGTAAAGGCATTGTTATTTGACTTGAATAACGATGCTGATTTGGATGACCAAATGATGGAATATCCTGATTATGAGAGTAAGAAATTTCATCATTATTCGAATAAAGGTTATTGCTCATATCCTCTGACCTATAAGCTTTATGTGAATTAATATCTCCATTTTTAGCGTAAAAATTTTGTAAATTATTGCTAATATCCCTTCCATAATCAGATATTGATAAATCATTTATTCTCACATCTATAACATTATTCTCGACGGAAGTATACTGTTTATATTTTTCTAACAATGCATTCTTTTCTTTTTCGAAACCTTTTTCTGTTATATATTCTTCTTCCAATTCCTTTTTCAATTTTGCTAATTCAGAATGAAATTCTGGTGGTAAAGTTCTAGTATCCATCTTAAAATTGAGATATGTATATTGATACCCCCGTCAAAGGAGAAAATAATTTTGCTTTAAGCACAACCCTGAAATGTGTAGTGACGAAGTTAAATGGAGCTTAGAAGTAGAAGCTTGAATCTATGTTACACGTTCGAAGACGTTATTTAATTAGAGCATTGTTTAATGTAGTAAAGACAGTAAAACTTGCAATTACTTTTTCGACCCTTGTATAAATTAAAGTCAACAAAGACAGTCAATAAGTATAAATCGGTAGTCTCTTGATTTAAATAGAAAGCATTTGCTCACCAGGTTCGAGGGTTGAAAAAGAACTCAAGATATTATTATAATAATGGTAGATTCACGCGTGAGTTATAATAAATATAATATAAGAGCTGCTTAGGTATTTAAATGTATTAATGTTTTACGATATGTACGTGCACTTTTTACTTCGAATACTTAAACACAAGGAAATTTAGATTTATGCGTGCCTTTTAATATAAAAAATTCGATTGGCAACTTTATTTGTGTAAGGATACCGGAAAAGTAATTGACCATCACAACTTTCCGTAATAGTGCAAAAAGTCTTAATTATATGCAAATGAGTACCCTTTGAAAATGGAAATAATTTGATTTTAACTGGAACAAATCTGTATATGACGTTTTTTCAATACGTAAAGAAAAAGTAATAACAACTAAATTTCACTCTTCAATTAATATATGCAGGTTAATGGGGGACGTAAGACGAAAAGTTAATAGTTATGTATGTACCTATTCTGTTCTATGGATGTATATTACCAGGCATTAGATACTCGAGGTTGACTGTTAGACACAACTATTTGTTTAACTATTGTATTTTGAAGTTGATACGTTGATACCCAATCAAAATTGCAAAAGTAAATCGTTAGATAAGATGTAACAAATAGCCTTTGTCGCTCGGACACCTATCAGATTCAATTACCGCTATATATAAATTTTATATACGTATGTACTCTTGTTTTATAATGCTGTAATAATGAGACTTAAAGAACAATGAAAATTGTAATATGATTTACAGTAGCTATAAAATCCTTTTTTATTTTTGGCAATTTTTAAACTTATTAATTATGATAAACATAAATGATTACTTCTGTACTTTTTTTAAAAGACAAAAGAAGTTGAATTCATCATAAGTAAAGTTCACAATATAGTACTGTATACTGTATCGGTATGGTTTTTAAAATTTTAAATTATAAAAACTATAAAAATTTAGACTGAACTCGGAAAATATAGAGATTGGATTTGTTCAACAAAATGTTACCTGAGTTAATTGGGTGGGTATTACAATATTTGAATGAGGGTACTCAAGGGTACTCACAGGTACCCATTGTGTTGCTCCGAACTTAAAAATGTTAATTAATTTAAAGTTTTAATATCGGTATTAAAGATTATATATATACGTACGTACGTACAATATATCGATATCTGATATCAATATATATACGTATATATATATATACTATATATATCAGATATATATATATATATATATATTATTGACGTACTACAATATGTGCATAAAAATTAGCTTTTCATTCAATCAAATACAAAAATTAGAACTTCTTAAAAATGGCATATTTTGGTTTCAAAATAACGCCAACGGGCATCCCGAAATGACGCGTCACCTCATATATACTTATCAGGGGATTCATATTTGGTAATAATAAATAGGTCAGAAAATTGGCCATGGGAGTACTTGAATTAACGCGCAGGTAGTCAAAATAACTCGCTTATGCCCGTTATTTAGAGTTTCTCTCCCATTCATATAATTCTAGTAATTTTGAACCGGATATCCAAATTGTCGATCGTTTAACTGAACCTGTTACTTTCCAGTTGGACCGGCTAAACCGAGGAATCGTTTAGCCGCATAAATTAAACGGTTAAACGATTAGAAAAATTTTAGGCGGTCTCAATCTCTAGCTGAATTAGCTAATATGAAATGTGAATAGTGAAAAATTAAAATTCGACCTATATATATACTTCTGGGACCAGTCATGGCGAAAAAAATGTGCTACCTAAGAACACCCCAAAAGTTCTACGCTAAATGATTACCTGAAATCAGATTTCTGGAATAACACATAATCGACAACATACATCATGAAAATTGATCGAAGTTTTAACTAGGTTAGGGTTTTTCGGATTTTACGTAGAATTTTCGGACAAATAATTTAGGACAGTTTCTAAAAATAAAACTATATATTGATTTACTAATTTTAATATATATATATAATATATATATATATCAAAAAATATATATATATATATATATATATAATATAAATACCTGGTTCTTCACACAGTACCCGATTCTAAATCACGAAAAACTTATTAATTACCAATTATCGTGTTATCTTTGTTAAGTTTAAATTAACTTACTATCAAATTTTTGATAATATTCGAACGCTTTGCGTTCATTCTTTTTAACTCAGATTTCTTCTTCATATTAATAATTATTCCATCATCATGACTGAAATATAACATAATTTGCTTTACTGTTACCAATTAATCACGAACATAATAAATTACGTTGTAGATCTGCTGCTTGAAGCGAAGTGACTGTCGTTAGTGCTTTCGCATTGGTAAAAATATAGGACAATTTGAGATAATTTGAAATAATTTGGGGTCTTTGCCTTGAAAATGACCTTACGGGATTATGTAGATTTTATTAATAAAAATTATTACTCATAAAATTTACATAGTCCCGTAAGGTTATTTTCAAGGCAAAGACCCCATTGGGAATTTCAGGACATCCAAAAACAACCTTTTTATTTTAGGATAATCCGAAAACAATATTTTTAACAGCCATCCGAACAAATTAATAAAAAAATTTTATCGAGCTTGTCCCGGCAGTTATCAAGAAAATTTCCAACAACTACAGACAAAACTTCGATAAAATTTTTTTAATTTTAATTCTACAGGCTTGTAGAATTTAAATAAAAATTTTTTTTACTGAATTTAATTGGTAATTATCGAGAAATATTTATTAGAGTAACGTTGCAGCTATATTTTAAAACTTAATCGAAATAGCAGCCTGATCAACTTCGACAACAATTTTTGGATATTATTAAATGGTGCATAGCACTAGTGCTCGGCACAATTAAACAAAAATTTACAGTCAAATACTTGTGACTAAGTCGATCGCAGCTCAACCAATACTATATATTTAGCTTTGTTTGACGTCCGACTAATCACAAATATTTGATTGTCAAATTTTTGTTTGATTGTGCCGAGCACTAGTAACCCCTGCTGTGCAACTAATAAAAAATATTTTACCTTAACCTCAATCCTACCCTAACTCTAACCTTTACTTTAATATTATACTTATTTGGCTACGTATTAAAATGTGGGGTGTACAAAATACATAGGTGCACCATTTATTTCAATTCTACAGGCAAAAAATACCGTTCCTGATTGGATCGTCGCTGATGTGATGAAAAAAAAAATCGATTTACGTATCGTTCCTGACAGGTAGGGTGTCTGGCATAGTGGCAAAGGCATGCCAACGGTGGCATGCCAATGATGGCATGCCCTGGCATGCCAAAAACAAATTTGGCATGCCACAGTACAAATTTTAACAAAAGGCATGCCCTGTGGCATGCCAAATTTTTTTGGCGTGCCAGACACCCTACTGACAGGGTTATTAAAGGAACCCCGAAATTAATTTCTCATGATGCTTAGTTATAGTGTGAATGCTAAGTCACGACCCGTGATTAATTCGCAACGTTGATTTCAACTTGCCTAAATATTCGAGGCACGTAATTTGAAGAGAGCTAATAAATTCATTTAGCAAAAGAATTATTAACATAAAATTATGGTTGTATTCGGCTGAATTAAATATTAGCTCTCTTTGAATTACGTGTCTTAAAATAATGCCCATAGGCGTTATTTCGCGCAAATTCGGTAAGAATATTTGAGTTGAAAAACTTTATTAAATGATTGAACACTAATTTCCGGGGGGTTTTTTTTTTTTTTGAATTTTTATGTTACGCGTTGATATTATAATCTGGTTGAACAGTAATAATAAACTGCCAAAATGTTTTACAATGGCCTTATATTTCGACAGTAGTGTGGTTTTAGAATCCTATCAGGAACGGTATTTTGCTTCTACAGGTCTTAAAAATAAAAAAATTTTGGCATTTATCGAGAAATTTTCGTTTGAAGTTTAAAGCAGCCTTTTTTCTGATATTCAATGCTTTTTTTAAAATTTAAAGATGATATTTCCTGATAATGCTGGGACAAGCTCGATGAAATTTTTTTTTTTAATTCTACAAGTTTGTAGAATTAAAATGTCTTAAAATAATTTTAAGCAATCTGATTGGTTGGCACATCATATAGCGCAAAATTTTCGGGAATTAGCATAAATAGAATTTAACATAACATAGTAGATACACTCTAGTTTTTAATTATAGAATTTAAATTTGTTATTTAAAATATTGATTAAACATTATATATAAGTTTATTAATCATTTCTGTAACCTAACGTCACGCGTACAGGTAGCAATAATTTTTTTTTCAACTAAAGATGCTAATTAAAAAAACGTAATCACTGATGTAAACATAGCCTTTGTATTACTTTGACTAAAGATTTCTCTAAGCCAGATAAATGCTGAAATTTATCCGTCCATTTTTTGTTGATTTTCCTCTTGGATTACCTTCGATATATAATTTCATATAACATTTTAAAATAGTCCAAATTTGGGCATCATTGAGATATTTGTGAACTTACTTTAGAAATTTCAGGCCGGATGCCAAAATTTTCATAAGCACTGTAATACCAGACTAAATTTAATAATCTAGATAGTATAAAGAAAATTCAAAACAATCCACTTGGCGCCCATAATTGTATATCTTGGTAAATAGGTGAATATTTTGACTGTTTTTGAAATGTAAACTATATTGTCTTTCCAGAGAGCTTGCTATTGAAAATTTTTAATTGTTGCTTATATACCAACATTTCTAATTAGATTGAATTATCTGGACAT